ATTTCACTGTACATAAAGTATATTTCAATAAAATGCATTAAAACACATCACAGAGTTTAGTACAATACAGAGTAGATGGCTTATACTGAGTTTAAGGAAGCCAGGGAAGTAGATAAATGAGTTTACTTAGTTAAATTTAACTTCTTAGATGATTAAAGGACCAGGAAGGAAGATACTTAATGAACTGATTCCTTATTTTATTTAAAGTTAGTCCTATATTATTACAGTGCAAGGCAAAACAATGTTGTTCTAACATAGCAGAAACCAGGTACAGTATATCTAAATAGATATAAACGGAAACATTCTAATAATCATTTCAAGATCACAGTATTGATGTTTTCTTCAAAAGAGGGAAGAGTTTCAAACTCATTTTGAATGAACAGCTTAGAAAGAAAAGTTTTTATTTTTCATAAAGTGTCTAATTATAACTAAGTCAACATATACATTTATAATACAATAAAAGATTCTTAATTAAGTATGTTTTAAAGTAGAAGACAGCTTACCTAACCTTAAAACAAACAAACAATAAAACCCCTGTATTACCCTGGGAATCAATAACTGTGCAATCAGTGTCTAAATGTAATCAAACCAGTTTGATTAAACTGCCATGTTAAACAAAACAAAACACTTTGAATTCTCTGGATTTCCTACTTCCAGTTTCTAACTTGAACATCTTCAAATGACCTGTTAAAAAGATGACAGCACTAAGTAACAGTTTAGAATAGAAAGAAGTTACTTAAAAAAAAAAAAAATGGGACTATTAAAGTATTTCTATTTCAAATAATTCCCTTAAAAAATGTTATATTGATTTAAACAACTTTATAGAGTTGCTATCCCTTCAAAATTTTATGCTAGTGTACAAATACACACAATTTTAAGCAGCAAGGGCTGCAGGGATGACTGCCAGTGGTCTATGACTAGGAAGGGAAACAGCAAGGAGACAACCTGAGCTGTTGACTTTCCACTGCCCGCTGTCCAGAGGGTGCAGCCATTTCGAATGTTTACAAGCGGCGGCCATTTTGGATAATAAAGTGACCGAGGGTGCAGCCATTTTGAATGCATACTGTATTATGCATTCTTAATGTATAAAACATTTTAATGTATGAACACATGCAGAATATTGCATTAATACCTATTTTGATATTTTCGGTGTTATCTCTTTAAAACGACATTTTAAGTGTATCTGAAATTCATGGGGAAGAAGTGTAGTACACATATTCATTGAAATTTCCCCACCCTGTACCACTAAAAAGGAGCTTTGGTGGTATAGTACCTAAAGCATTTGACTGCTAACCAAAAGGCTGGTGGTTCAAACTCACCACTCCTCAGAAGGAAGACTGGGCAACCTACTTCCATGGTGATACTGCCTTGGAAACCCAAGGAGGGGTTGCTGTGAGTCAGAACTGACTTGATGGCAGTGAGTTTGTTTTTTGTTTTTGGTTTGAGTATCACTAAAATGATACTTTGCGGATGTCATTTTGTATCTGGTCTGTCTTGTCCTTTCCTGTGATCCACTACTGTTCACTATTCTTACCAAGAAAAGCCCTAAAATGCTTTAAAGCACCTGTAGCTACCCTTGGAAGCCTGCCAAGTTTATCAGCCTCACAACTCACAGAAAGTACTGGTCTTCCTGGGTTTTTAATTGACTCATAATACTCAAGACGTCTACAATTCATGAAGAAGAATGGATTGGCTTCTTATTTTAAATGAATGCAATGCAAATACTGTTTTCAATTCACAGTTTAGTTTATATTGTTCTACAGAAAGGGGGCAAGTGATGTAGGTGTATAACTGATAATGATATTGTGGAAATTTCATTTTTATACTAGTAATTCAAGTACTAGTAGTTTTGAAGCTGAAATCCTGACAAATGTTTTTAATCAAAAATGCAATGAGCTGGGAAGGGAGTACGAGCCTTTTCTAATAAGCACACCATATGTTACACTACAAAACTAGCTTTAGTTCAAGCCAATATCCTGTGCTTTGTCATAGTGAAGTAGGGCTTATGCTGAGCCTCAAAGAAATTGTTTTGACTAAAACGTGTAATTACCTCAAATTCTACTTACTGATACTTATAGATATGCATGGTGATTTCATCTCAGCCTTTATTAAGCAAATAAACTTTAATATATGCAAAAGAAAAAAAAACTGCATCTGAAACAAAATTTAAGGCCCTGAGAAAGAGACAGACAGACAGATCAAACAGACACAGAGAAACAATGTACTTCACTCTGAGGTTCTGGGCCTCCCCGAGGTGAGGAATTGCTTCATCTAAGTCCTATGCAACCTGCAGGAGGGAACTTGCTCAAGGAAGGGCTGGCCCAGTGGCTCCATCTCCCCTGAATGAGCCTGTCACCCTTAAACCAGAGCCCCCTGAGCCCTCTGCTCAGATTGTCTGTGGCCTTTGGTTCAGCAGAGCCTCAAGCAGTATATTTCCTTCCTCTCCTGGGCACAGGCCTTGCTCTCTGCTGCCTTAGTTCCTTCACACATATTGTTCACTACTTCTAAATCCTATCCATCTCCTTTACAGCGTGGCTTAAGACCTCCTGCCCAGAGAAGCTTGCCGTGACTATCGGAACATTGACCCCTCACCTCTCCATCCCCTACAGTTGTATATGGACTGAATTTGTTTTCTCCAGACCCTACCTGTCTTTCCCCTGCCCTGGGGACTCGCCTGGACCAATCAATATGCATTGAAATCTTTATTGACTGATCTAGTGACCTAAGACTTCAGCAAGAATGAAGGGATCCTAATTTGACAACCTCTACTTGAGCACCTATCATATACTAAGGATCTGTGGATGAATGTGGACCAAGGTGCACAATGAAATCCACAGGGGGGGCCTAGGACATCATGGGGTGACAGGATCCATCTTGAAGTGGCTTCAGGAAGGAGGTGGCTTCTAAGGTGAGGCAGAGGAATTAACTAAGCAAGGAAGTGAGAGTTGGGGAAGACATGGGACAAAGGGTGAGAAGGAACTTGACATTTTGAACAAATGAAAACCTCAAGGGTGTTAGGGCATGGAGGGATAAGGCAGAGGCCACTACGTTCAGGGTATGAGCCCTGTGAGGGAGCTACTGACTCCCTGGTGCATTTGGTGAAAAACAACCAAACGAAATCAAACTCACTGTCATTGAGTCGATTCCAACCATTGAGTGATCCCTTTGGGTTTCCAAGGCGGTAAATCTTTATGAAAGTAGATTGCCCAGTCTTCCTTCCACTGAGTGACTGGTGGGTTTGAAGCACCAACCTTCTGGTTAACAATCAAATGCCTTAGGCACTACACCACCAAAGCATGTGGTGAAGGAATTGAGAAATGGTGTTAAGGACAAAAACACTGGAGGGCTGGAGGAATGAGAGGGCTGGAGGGCTGTGAGGGATGAGAGAGGCAGGAGGTAATGGGGGAGAGATTCCTTGCAGGAGGGCCAGAATCCATAGTTTTCATGCAGCCAGTATGTGAGAAAATGTGCTGAATGGACAATAGGAGAGAGCTCCCAGGAAGCAGTTTCTGGTTCTTCACACAGCAAGATCCTGACTACCTTCCTAACCACCCTCACCCCCACCCCCAGGGGAGAAATAGAACATCTCCTGCAGTGGAACTATTTTATTTAATGATCAGAAAAGGCTTTGGGCATTTGAGCAGAGACCTGAAGGAGGTGAGGGCATGAGTCATGTGCATTTCAAGCAGAAGGAACACAAAGGACAAAGACCTGGAGCAGAGTGGGCTGGAGGTTGGTGTGCTGGGGTAGGAGATGATGTCAGAGGCCAGAGGCGGGTGATCAGGCAGAGCTTCACTGATGAAGGTGGATTTTTTTCTAGGGTTTATGGGGAGTTACGGAGGGTTTTAAGAAGGGAATGACTATGTTCAGTGGTCCAGTGCCCCCTCACCACTCCTTTGTCCTCAGGGCCAAGGCACCATGGAGAATGGACAGAGAGTGTCCCGGAAGAGTCGGAAGTTGGGCTCCAGCCGCCGGCGGCAAATACGAGAGGCAGCTGATGCCCAGGATGCCCCTGTAGCCTCAGAGCCAGAAGCATGGTCCTTTCAAGCAGCTGCAGAACTACAGGACTTCTTCCAAGACTGTGGTGCCAAGGAGAGGGGCTTCATTACTCGCGAGGACATGGCGGTGAGCCCAGGACCCCATCTCACCCCTGTGTCCCCTTACGTAGCCTTCTGAGACTCCCTATTCCAAGGAAGGCAGGATTTACCTGCCTTCTCTCCTTTATCTTGTATAAAACCCCCTCTCAACAAAGGCCAATAACTTGTTTATACTAACATGTAAATGACTGACAAGGCTTTCTGTGTTACCATTCCAGAAACATTCACATTTTAACAATGGAAAGGACACTGAATCAAAGAAGTAACTTGCTAATAGTAACATTTCAGGCCCATTGAGCAAAGAAGTTTATCTGGGGAGCAATCAGAGCCCTGAAAATCAAACCATGTTAATGACTATCAACTTCACTGAAACACCAAGACCAATTTTTCCTTCATCCCTCCTCATTCCCTGTGAAGGGGCCTATGTAGGCTGCTGGGGTCTCATGGACCTGCTGTCTCCTCCTGACACGGCTCTGTGCTCCAGACTTTGTTCTTCCCACCATCAAAATTGACCCTTCATTTAGTCTGTCCCTCAGGGCCCTATCTGTGAAATCCACAACAAGGTGCTAATGTTAGATATATAAATTAACATTATATATATGTTAAAATATAATATTAAATATACATTAAGATATAATTTTTAAAAAAAGTAAAATAATGACTCTGAAGTAAATATGAAGGGAACACATATCAAAGTTATTAAGTAGTTAATTAATTAATTGAATGATGGAACCAGTAAGGTGTTATGACTTGTTCAAAGGCCATTTCAGAAGCTATGATATTTATAGGCAATTTGACAAAGAAGTATTAGGATAAGATTATTGAGCTAAATTTTAAAAAGTTGTTAATGCCTAGTACAGTAAAAAGGAGCTCTGGTGGCGCAGTGCCTAAGGCATTTGACTGCTAACCAAATAGCAGTTCAAACCCACCAGTTGCTCCATGGAAGGAATATGGGGCAATCTACTTCCATAAAGATCTACCACCTTAGAAACCCAATGAGGGTTGCTATGAGTTGAAATCCATTTGATGGCAATGGGTTTGAGGTTTTTTTTTTTTTTTTTTTGGTTTTAGTACAGTAAAACCCGTAAAAGCTGGAACCTGTGTAACAAGGAAACCTGTCAGAGAAGAAAAATGTAACTATTTTCCATTAAGCTAAAACAAGTGGTAGAAAAGTGGTAAGACTGCATCCTTTCGAAGGCAGAAAACTTTGGAGACCCAGAAAAACAAGGCAGTGCCCTCAAGTTCCAGCTCTCAGAGGTTTCACTGCAAAGTTTATGGAGTGGTTATCAGGGCTGGGCAGAAGGGAGTGAGGAAGGTGAACTAACTGTTTAGGGCAAACTAACCTTCTGCTGGGTGATGGGGAAATTTGGAAATGGGCAATGGTGATGGTTGAACAGCATAATAAACATACTAATGTCATTGAATTGGACATGTGAAAAATGTTAAAGAAGCAAATAAATTGTTATATATATTTTCTCCACAATGAAAAAAAAAATGATTACTGCCCAGGAGGTCATAAATCTTTGGAGTGATCTGTTCTACTAGACAAGAATTACTTTAATCTCTCACAGACAAAAACTCTGTAAATTATGAAGTAACATCAGTAAATCTGGGACTTTTAATTAAATGATGAGATGAACTAAGTCCATTCCTCCAGTCTAGACAATGCTTGGATGGTTTCTGTATAACATTGGAATTGTGTACTCTCTACCCTTCTGCCTGGGAGCTCTGGTAGCATAGTGGCTAAGCCACTTGACTGCTAACCAGAAGGCTGGCAGTTCAAATCCACCAGCCACTCCTCAGAAGGAAGATGGGGCAATCTACTTCCGTAGTGATACTGCCTTGAAAACCCAAGGAGGGGTCGCTATGAGTCAGATCCGACTCGACGACACATTACAACAACCCTTCTGCCTTACTGATAAGTTTCAAATAATTTTTCTATCATCATAAATAATCTCCAAAGTTTATTCTTGATATAAAGAAAAGGCTGGTCTGATTTGGTTTGGCTAGATTATTTCTGTAAGTACAGTGAAATTAAACATATGGCCCAGATTAAGCATATGGGCTTGAGTTTGCTCTGCAAATACACTTTTACAGTGTTGAGCCACTTCAGCTTCTGTCCAGAAGTTTTCATATGGAATTATGTAACTTGGGATTAAATTGGAGTTTTTCTTTTAATATAATTTTTTTTTTGTAAAATATATCTAACATAAAATTTCCCATTTTAATCATGTTTACATGTATGATTCAGTGGCATTAAGTTCAACCACGATGCTGTGCAGCCGTCACCACCATCTATTTTCAAAACTTTATCATCATCTCAAACAGAAACTCTGCATCCATGTAAGCAATAACACCCCATTTCCCTCTCCTCCAGCCTCTGTTAACTTCTAACCTATTTTCTGTCTCTATGAATTTGCCTATGCTAGATATTTCATATAGGTGGAATCATAAAATAGTTGTCCTTTTGTATCTGGCTTCTTTCACTTAGCAGGTGTTTAAGGTTCATCCATGTTGTAGCATGTACCAGAAGTTCATTCCTTTTCATGGTTGAATAATATTTCACTGTATGTGTTTACCACATTTTGTTTATCCATTCATCTGTTGACGGACACTTGGGTTGCTTCAACTTTTTGGCTTTGTGAATAATGCTGCTGTGAACATTGGTGTACAAGAGTCTACTTAAGTCCTTGTTTTCAATTCTTTTGAGTATGTAATTAGGAGTGGAACTGTTAGATCATATGGTAATTTTATGTAATAACATTGTAAGAAATCATCAAACTGCTTTCTATAGCGGTTGTACCATTTTATATTCCCACCGGCAATGGACAAGGGTTCCAATTTCTCCAATCCTTGCCAACACTTATTATATTCCATTTTTTAATAACTATCTCATAGGTGTGAAGTAATATCTTATTATGGTTTTAATTTGTGCTTTCTTGATAACTAATGACGTTGAGCATATTTTTATGTGCTTATCGGCCATTTGTATATCTTCTTGGAGAAATGTTTATTCAAGTTCTCTGCCCATTTTAAAATTCGTTTCTTTGTCTTTTTGTTGTTGATTTGTAGTAGTCCTTTACACATTCTGGAAATTAAAGCCTTGTCAATGTATGATGTGATATGCTTTCTCCCATTCTGTAGATTGTCTTTTCACACTCTTGATAATGGCTTTTGAGATACAAAATTAGGTTAGACTTTTAAAACCTCTGTTATTTGCTCTTCTATCTAGAGTGAACAACTATCCTGGTTTGCCCAGGACTGAAGGGGTTTCCAGGATGTAGGACTTTCAGTGCTAAAGCCAGGAGGGTCCTGGGCAAACTGGGACAAGTTGGTTATCCTAACTCTATACTAAGACTGGGAGCTCTGGTGGCGTGGTGCCTAAGGCATTTGACTACTAACCAGAAGGCTGGTGGTTCAAATCCACCACCTACTCTTCAAAGGAAGATTGGGCAATCTACTTTCATAGTGATACCACCTCAGAAACCCAAGGAAGGGTCGCTATGAGTCGGATCCCACTCAACAACAGTGTGTTTGGTTTTGGTTTTTATCCTAAGACTAGGGCACTTTCTCCACCAGATTTCACCTGAAATGTCTATAAATTCTTCTTAAGATCCCAATTTTTCTAAAGTCCCTCTCCCGCCAGGAAATGACTTTCTTTATCAACTTATTCCAAGCTGGCCTCCTAGAAGGACTTTATAGACATTGGTTCCACATGTGTTCCTTATTATGTGGGGTTGGCATACCTGATTAAGCAAGAATCATTCTCCAATATGACACTCTCAGTAGGAACTTAGTTGTACAATTGATTTATCCAATTATATCCCAGTAAAAAGGTAGACACCAATAGAAGCAGCAGTCGGGACATCAGATGACGTATAGTGCTGGACAAATCAGCTGCAAAGAACCTCTTTTAAGTGCTGAAAAGCAAAGATGTCTCCTTGAGGATTAAGGTGTGCCTGACACAATCCATAGTGTTTTCAATCGTCTCATATGCATGTGAGAGATGGGCAATGAATAAGGAAGGCCGAAGAATAATTGATGCTTTTGAGCTGTGGTGTTGGTGAGGAATGGTGAAAGTACCATGGACTGCTAAAAGAAGAACTAACTCTGTCCTGGAGGAAGTGCAGCCAGAATGCTCCTTGGAGGTGATAATGGCCAGACTTTGTCTCACATACTATGGTCATGTTGTCAGATGGGACCATTCCCTGGAGAAGGATATCATGCTTGGTAAGGCAGAGAGTTGACAAAAGAGAGGAAGGCCCTCAACGAGATGGATTGACATGGTGGCAGCGGCGATGAGCTCAAATATAGCAAGAATCATGGAGCTGGCTCAGGACTGGGCAGTGTTTTGTTCTGCTGTGCATAGCGTCACTATGAGTCGGAGACGACTCAATGGCACGTAACAACAACAACAAAAAAGGTAGACAGATTCATATTAAATCTGTGCAGATAACTATATTGCCATAGAAAAATAAGACTCCATGAAAGTATTAGTTTCTGAATTCTGAGGTGTACTGTGAGGTTCAGAGACCATTTCAAATGTTTAAATTCAGTTTACAAAAGTATAAACAACTTTAAGCAAAAGCATAAACTGAGGATTAGAGACAGCTCAAGAAGACAGAGAAAGGACTTCCTCATATACCCATAAAATAAAACAGTAAAAAATTATACTAAACACAGCCAAACAACCAACCACAGCGTTTATTAGCTGTTAATTCAGTCCCGTGTAGTCAGTTCTTGCTTCATTGGATTGTGGGCAATCTGTCTGTGTTTGGTCTTGAAGCTCCTGGAAATCCTGAGTCAGTCTACTAGCTCAGTCTAGAGGGGCCTGAGCAATGTCAGCTTGGAAGTCCATACCCAAGTGAGGCATCAATAATTCAGGAAATCTCGAACAGTCCTTTCCCATCAGGCTTCGAGTTTGTCCTTTATTGTTGAAGACACAGACTCTGACCTGCAGCTTATAACAGCATGTTGCTGTTGGGTGCTGTCAAGTTGTTTCTGATGCATAGCCATCCCATGTGACAG